TGTCTATCTTACATTTAGACACTGAACGTTTTTCAGATGAGCAGTAATATGATCACGTCTTTGTTTTTTATAACAGTACTATCAGTGAAGAGGGTTGATTGGAAAAGATGAGTAAGGAAAGTAGAATCAAATGAACCTAGTAAAAGAGCATTGTGTCATTTATTCATTCAACACATGAGAGAGTGCCTGCTATGAGCTAGAAACTAGACACTGTGGCTACTATAAAAAAAACCCAAAGTAGACAAAGTCCTGCCTCATAGCACTTACATTCCAGTGGAGAAACAAATAATAAAGTAATAAAATTTTAAGTGAGTCATTAGAAATGGTTATAACACTTATGAAGGAAACGAACAAGGTGATATCACAGTGATTGCAAGGTGAAGGCTCTATAAATAGGGTGTCAGGAAACACTGTCTGAGGAGGTGATACTTAAGCTGAGATATGGCAGAGCACAGGACTCCAGTGAATGCAGGGTCATACAGAGGAGAGAAAATATTTTGGAGATCCTTGAGAGAGTGAATTAATGAGACTTGCTAACCAACTGGACACGGGGATTTAAGGATTATTCTAAAGTTTCAGGTTAGAGCAACTGGCTATCTGGCAGTATTAATAACTGAGATAGGAAATACAGGAAGACCGCCAGGTCTGAGTTAGATATGTTGAGGTAATTGCCATGGGAGATGTTCAGTTGGTTATTTCTAGTTCTTTTGAAGGTATGCATGTCAGTCATCCCATGAACAGACGAGAATCAAGAAAATAAATTTCTCTATTGAGGAATAGGTGTAAAGGAAATTAGAAGAAGACATAGCTAGCCTAGAAACAAGTGGAAGTATACAAAATAATATCCTCATTTCACCATAAATTAGTGCAAATACTCAGTCTTTCATTTATTCAACTCATATTTATTGAGGGCCTACTATGTATTCAGCATTGTTCTGGGTGCTGAGGATACAGCCGTCAAGAAAACGAGCAAAGATCTGTTTCCCTATAGGTTTCAAACTTTTATTCAGGGGAAGGATAAAAGATAAAAATAATAACCATAATGATCAAATGAATTGTATGTTAGATAATAAATGCCGTGCTCAAGGAGATGTAGGGTTGGGGTTGGAAGTTAGTGAGTGCCTGGGGTAAGGCTCTGTGAAAATGTGACATTTAAAGTGATATTTGATTTGAGAGGGAAGATGGGAGGGAAGAGATCAACCACAGAACTTGTTTGCATATATGCATAACCAGTGGACATAGACAATAGGCCTGGGTTGGGGGGCGGGGACATATGTCCTTCTCTAGGCCGTACAGTGCCTAGCATTTGATACCTGTGCTCGCTAAACAGTCCCAGCCACCCCGGGAGAGAGACCGCAGGCGGAGTGGTAATGAGCTGAACCTTGGATTAGTGGTTCAGACCCAACTCTGTGAGTTTGCTCTGTGACTCAGTTTTCCTGTCACATCTTCGAAATGGGGTTGAAATAGCTGACATTTATAATGCACTTACTATGTACCCAGGCCCTGTTCCTATTTCCCTCCCGCCTGAGAGGAGGATGAGGAGACAAGCAAAGGCATTTGCCCACGCCTGTTATTAGTCTCAGCTTGGCTGACAGAGCTCCTAACCACGGAGACTGTACGAGCTGAATTGAGGACTCTTATGAAGTTGCTTATCCAGGGTCTGGCCTGCTTACATAAGAGTTCAGTAAGTGCTAGTCACTATTTGGGAATCATTACCGTGACAAAGGTAGCAAGTGAAGCCCCTTATGTTGTCTAAGCCTGGATTTTGGTTTCATCAGGAGGCAGCTCTGGATTTGAATCTGGGAATTGGAAGCTACTCCATAGAGACAAGCCTCTTACCCTTTCGCAGCATCGGTTTCTGCGCCATTGAAATGGTCTCACATGTGGTCCCTGGAGTCCCCTGTGAGGATCCAAGGAGCTGGGGTGCAGCCTTTGGCAGAGTCAGGCCTGGCCCTCACTAGGCCCTCAATAAGTGAGCGGTATTGACAACCACACTAACAACAAGAGGATGTCAGCAAACGCCATCATGGTAGAGAAGTTCCACAACCCAGTCCAGCCCCTTGCTAGGCTCGCCAAATACTGAGCATCACACAGCCCTGCCCTCTAGGGCTCCCAGACCGTGTTAACAGTGGGATCAAGCTGGAGTGGAAGCAGGCCAGAGGAGGGAGGTGCAGCATTCCAAGCTAAACCAGAGTCCGCTAGGGGACAACCAAGTGGAGGGCCGGGGCTCCCAATAGCAGGTGCGGACAGGAAGCATTCCAACCTCCAGAATGCTGAGACCCCAGCGGGGACGGGGCGAGCACAGGCGGGGCAATGTTATGGAGAAAGAGAACTTTGGGTTGTGAAGAAGGACATTTCTGGCTGGACTCCCTTACTTGTGGAGTGACTTTGTGCAAGTTACTCAATTTAAAAAAATTTTTTTTAATTGATTTTTGGGGAGCGGGTGAGAGAGAGAAACATCTACATGAGCGAGGTGAGAGCATAACGCCAGTCAGCTGCCTCCTGCACACACCCTACTGGAGATCGAGCCTGCAACCCAGGCATGTGCCCTGGCCAGGAATCAGACCGGCAACCCTTTGGGGCACTGGATGACTTTGGGGCATGGATGATGCCCGACCAACTGAACCACACTGGCCATGGCTAGTCACTCGATCTTTGGATCTCCCTGTCTTCATCTAGAAAATAAGATGAAAGCTCCCCACAGAGTTATCAGATGATGTTTTAACCCTGGCCAGCATGGCTCAGTGGTTAGAGTGTTGGCCTGCACACTGGAGGGTCGCAGGTTCAATTCCCGGTCAAGAGCACGTGACTGGGTTGCAGGTTTGATCCCCGCCTCCAGTTGGGGTGCATTTGGGAGGCAACCAATTGATGTGTCTCCCTCACATCGATGTTTCTCCTCTCTCTCTAAAAATCATTGGGAAAATATCCTCACTCCTCAGGTGAGGAAAAAATAAAAAACCCGATCGGTGTGGCTCAGTGGTTGAGCATTGACCCATGAACCAGGAGGTCATGGTGTGATTCCCTGTCAGGGCACATGCCCAGATTGTGGGCTCAATCCCCAGCAGGGGGTGTGAAGGAGACAGCTGATCAATGATTCTCTCTAATCTTTGATGTTTCTATCTCTCTCCCTCTCCCTTCCTCTCTCTGGAATCAATAAAAACATTTTTTTTAAAAAAAAGATATTTTAAGACAATATGGATAAAGCTAATAATAAGCACTCAAAAAAAAGGGAGCTCCCTTCCCTTCAGAGAGCCTGGGTTTAATTCCCAGCTCAGTCCCTTACAAACTGAATGACTTTGAGTAAATTATTTAACTTCTCTGTGCCTCAGTTTACCCATCTGAAGTTGTACCTACCTCATTGGATTGTTCTAAAGATCACATGAGTGACTCAACACAAGAGCACCAAGAACAAGGCTTGACACATATGGCAAGTAGTAGGCAGGATCAGTATTATTTTTGTTTCTAGAAGAGGCAGGCTGTCAACTGGCCATTGAGGAGAGAAATGGAGGAGGGGAGGGCCAGGAAGAGCAAAACTTGTCAAGAGTGAGGAAGGAGCTCCAACTCTGTTTTGTTTTGTTTTTTTCTAGCCAGTACCAACCTCCTCAGCATTTTCTCACCTAAAAAAATATTCACTCAGTCCGACCGGCGTGGCTCAGTGGTTAAGTGTTGATCTATGAACCAGGAGGTCATGGTTCAATTCCCGGTCAGGGCACATGCCTGGGGTTGTGGGCTCAATTCCTAGAGTGGGGCATGCAGGAGGCAGCCAATCAATGATTCTCTCATCATCTTTGTTTCTATCTCTCTCTCTCCCTTCATCTCTGAAATCAATAAAAATATATTAAAAAATATTCACTCACTTTGAATAATAAACTGTTCATGTAGTTCACGGTTCAAATAAAAAAGTTTAAGGGGCCCTAACCGGTTTGACTCAGTGGATAGAGTGTCGGCCTTCAGACTCAAGGGTTCCAGGTTCAATTCCGGTCAAGGGCGTGTACCTTCGTTGCAGGCACATTCCCAGTAGGGGGGGTGCAGGAGGCAGCTGATCGATAAAAAAGACATTTTCAAAAGAAAAGGTTTTTAAGCCCATGGGTATGTTGAGCAAGAGCCTCTGAGACAATTTCTTACCCAAAGATGGTCTAAGTAGGTCCAATGGCCAGGCAGAGCTCATGGGCACAGAGCTGGGCACTGGGGCCGGGGTGATTATTTCTGGGCCTGTGTGGCTCTAACCAGGTTCTGGGGGACCAGGACATGTGGGGGCAGGTGGGCAGAGCCAGGGCCCAGTCTGGGCATGATCTTGCCCTTCAGCCCTGCCTGAGAGCCCCTCTTCGTCCAGGCCCCTCCCTGATCCTGTCCAAGCCAAGGCCTGGGAAAAGGCTGCTGCCCCGTGCCCCGGGGCCCCAGGTGCCCCCTCCTTCTTCTCTTCTGCTTGTTCCAACACCACTCTCCC